GAGACTGGAGAATGATCATTCGCAGCCAAAGAAGAAAACAGCTCAATGGTCAAGGGCCATTTCTAATCTTGAGAGCCACGATCCCAGAGCCTGAATTGCATTCCTGAAGGTTGTGATGCACAACTTCGAGTTTCAAGGCCAAGTAAGCATCGAGCGTAAAGACAAATTACTTCTCATCTGGTTGTTTCAATCCCCAGACAACCCTGAAAATGTTCCATTTTCCGACAACGTAAACGGATTTGCCTATAAGAAATCCCAATTTTTTGTCTATTCACTTTCTCTTCGTTTTATTTTTAATGACGCAGACGTTCATGGAGGTACTTCTTCTTCACCATCCTTTTTCCCGATTTCCTTAACTCTTATCCGGGCAAGGGGAGTCGTCCATTGGACTCCCCAGGGTATATTTCATTTCATTACTCTCTGCAAATTTTTCAAAATATTCTTCAAATTTCATATGGGTTTCATAGACCATCCATAGATTCAGAAACGAACTTTTAAAGTTTGGATTTGCTTTTAAGGAAAAAAATTCTAAAAATGTTCGGCCTTGCCCGGATAAGGGTTAAGAACCGAGAGAGAGGTGTGGGAAGAACCGGGTTTAGTCTTACTGAGAGTAATGGTATTTAGAAAAGTAGATGTTTTCACGTACGCCATAAAAAAATTTTTAACTTTGTTTTTCATGATTTGGAATGGAAAATAGGTCAAGAAAAACATATGAAATGGAAACTGAGTTTTTATTTTATTATCAAGCATGACACATTCGCCCAGCCTACGGAAATATTTGAGGGGATTTCGGAAAGTTCGTGAAAATCTTTTTGCCGAGCTGAAAATAGTGTAGTGAACAATTTTTTGTTTGTCCGTTGCTCAACCACGTATTTTTTTGCCACATTTGAACAAAATATCTTCGTGTAATTCTCAAAACGTTGTCACGAACGGACACAGTTTCATAGCGGTGGTAGTGCAATTGCAATTTTATATTTTTCCTCGAAATGTGCGTTCCAGGGGACAAAGAAACGGCAGGAAAAGCGCTTTACCAAAGGGTCAGTGAGGTGTTGATCAATCTGTATCTGTCGGGAGTCTGTCAACATCGAAAATACTCCGACCGTTTCTTTCCTGTTGCAGGAAAAAATGTAGACTGACTACTAATCAGGCAGACATGGGAGTCATTTGGCAACACTGACAAATGTCAATAATTTTTTTGCAGGTACTTGTCTTCGGTAATTTCTGATTTAAAAAGCACCCAAGTTACGCCCTTGTTTGGGATAACTTCGACACCGTAATGAAATATCACTGCTCATGTTCTACTTACCAATTACCTAGTGTAACATTGGCACCTTAAATCACATTCCAAAAATGAAAAAAAAATCTTGAAATCGATTGAAGTACAATTCATTCTCAAGTACTTACAATTTTCGCCTAATATTTTTATGAACTGAACTGTAAAATGCAGCTCATGTGTTTCCTAATAACTTATCTCGAAACAATTCCCCTGCTTTGTATTATGATTCAGAGTCGCAAGTAGTACTAGCTCCGGTTTGGTTTCCCTTATCTGATTTATGCCCTCCTTAGGATTTTGAGTTTCTTGCTATCTGATTTTGGAGATACTCCATCTTTGATTGCATCCATGGCTATAACTGGATCTGCTTCAGTACGAAGCATATATACACGATCATCACTACGTGAATTTAATCAAATTTCACCGAAAAAATTCGTGGACCATCACATACTTTTCACCGAGCTGTATCATGAATATTTGCAGGCCGCTTGACATCGTCTGTCTGCCACCTCTTCCGAAGAAAACGCAAAATTCAGTCGCTCAACGTTGTTGCAGATATGAAATACTAATCATAAATGAATCACTAATTTCCACCGCTAGTGAAGCGTTTGCGTCCAGTCATGAAAGAGTTTAACATTTTGCACTTAGATACGCCACCAAAACATAACTGCATGACCACAGAGAGACTAATGGCAAAACGCACAAAATTGTGCATAAGTAACATTCATGGATAAGGCACACAACCCCTGAACTTTTATATATTCGGACGTAGACTTATTTTTTCCCTGGAGAGGGGTTAGCACATTCAAGATTTGGCGTTCTAAAAAAATTAAAAACCTATTCCTGCGATACATGCTTGGCCGATGGTTTTTGTCTTACCCTCTTTCTTTGTACTCTATTCTTGCAGCCTTATTCAAGGCTGTGCAATTTAAAATTCCTTCAATTTATGAACTTGCATGGTGAAAATGTCACTCAGCGCTACGCTTCTTTCGGCGTCGGAGGAGAGATGGCGGGAGAAAGACGTCACAGAAACTTAAGAAGGAAGGCGGAAAGCCTCAAGGGCCAGAAAGGAGAAAAAGGGTCATTCCTCTAACCTGCCCCTGGTCATGGAGAAAAGGTACACCACGAATGCTAGAGAATGTCAACAAGAATGCCCCGAGAAAACTCTTTGATTGCTCGGGAAGTATCACACGAGTATATTCAAAATGCCTGGGAATGCTCCTAAATAAAGAAAGCTTGGACTTTTAAAAAGGAGGAATCAAGCAAGGCTGGGTCGGAGAAAGTAGTCTTCTGGCCCAAGGTGAGGTGAACGAAACATGCTCCGTGGAGGGGGGTGAGAGGGGTCAATAGGGCCTCACGAGTACATTTGCAAACGGTAAGTTTGTGAACAGACATGCCGTTGCCTACAACTCACGGTGCTATCCCCAGCTTGTAAGACACTCTACGCGCGAAGTACGTAACTCCGTACGCTCTTTCTTCGTAGATGGTATAAATACAAGAATCATAAGTGACTGGGAACCGAGAGGCAGCCCTCGACTTCGGCCTGAATTCCCTACCTATTCCATCCCAAACTTTGACATTTCCATAACCGAGTGCTTCAGGATCGAACCCCCAACGTGAACAGAATCAGAGGCTTCCCATCGTCGCTTGTCATCTACAGTACAATCACAACTTCCCATCCCAACGGTTGAGCACAGATTTGTTCTTATCCGATGTTCAATAGATGAGACTGGAGAATGATCATTCGCAGCCAAAGAAGAAAACAGCTCAATGGTCAAGGGCCATTTCTAATCTTGAGAGCCACGATCCCAGAGCCTGAATTGCATTCCTGAAGGTTGTGATGCACAACTTCGAGTTTCAAGGCCAAGTAAGCATCGAGCGTAAAGACAAATTACTTCTCATCTGGGTGTTTCAATCCCCAGACAACCCTGAAAATGTTCCATTTTCCGACAACGTAAACGGATTTGCTTATAAGAAATCCCAATTTTTGTCTATTCACTTTCTCTTCGTTTTATTTTCAATGACGCAGACGTTCATAGAGGTACTTCTTCTTCACCATCATTTTTCCCGATTTCCTTAACCCTTATCCGGGCAAGGGGAGTCGTCCATTGGACTCCCCAGGGTATATTTCATTTCATTGCTCTCTGCAAATTTTTCAAAATATTCTTCAAATTTGATATGGGTTTCATAGACCATCCATAGATTCAGAAACGAACTTTTAAAGTTTGGATTTGCTTTTAAGGAAAAAAATTCTAAAAATGTTCGGCCTTGCCCGGATAAGGGTTAAGAACCGAGAGAGAGGTGTGGGAAGAACCGGGTTTAGTCTTACTGAGAGTAATGGCATTTAGAAAAGTAGATGTTTTCACGTGCGCCGTAAAAAAATTTTTAACTTTGTTTTTCATGATTTGGAATGGAAAATAGGTCAAGAAAAACATATGAAATGGAAACTGAGTTTTTTTTATTATCAAGCATGACACATTCGCCCAGCCTACGGAAATATTTGAGGGGATTTCGGAAAGTTCGTGAAAATCTTTTTGGCCGAATTGAAAATAGTGTAGTGAACAATTTTTTGTTTGTCCGTTGCTCAACCACGTATTTTTTTGCCACATTTGAACAAAATATCTTCGTGTAATTCTCAAAACGTTGTCAGGAACGGACACAATTTTATAGCGGTGGTAGTGCAATTGCAATTTTATATTTTTTCTCGAAATGTGCGTTCCAGGGGACAAAGAAACGGCAGGAAAAGCGCTTTACCAAAGGGTCAGTGAGGTGTTGATCAATCTGTGTCTGTCGGGAGTCTGTCAACATCGAAAATACTCCGACCGTTTTTTTCCTGTTGCAGGAAAAAATGTAGACTGACTACTAATCAGGCAGACATGGGAGTCATTTGGCAGCACTGACAAAGGGCAATAATAATGTTTTTGCAGGTACTTGTCTTCGGTAATTTCTGATCTAAAAAGCACCCAAGTTACGCCTTTGTTTTGGGATAACTTCGACACCGTAATGAAACATCACTGCTCACATTCTACTTACCAATTACCTAGTGTAACATTGGCGCCTTAAATCACATTCCAAAAAGGAAAAAAAAAACTTGAAATCGATTGAAGTACAATTCATTCTCAAGTACTTACAATTTTCACCTAATATTTTCATGAACTGAACTGTAAAATGCAGCTCATGTGTTTCCTAATAACTGATCTCGAAAAAATTCCCGTTTTGTATTATGATTCAGAGTCGCAAGTAGTACTGATGTTCGTCCAACTGGTCCCGGTTTGGTTTCACTTAAATTATGTATGCCCTCCTTAGTATTTTGAGTTTCTTGCTATGTGATTTTGGAGATACCCATCTTTGTTTGCATCCATGGCTATAACTGGATCTGCTTCAGTACGAAGCATATATACACGATCATCATTGCGTGAATTTAATCAAATTTCACTAAAAAAATTCGTGGACCATCACATACTTTTCACTGAGCTGCATCGTGAATATTTATATGCCGCTTGAAATCGCCTCTCTGCCCCTTCTTCCGAAGACGATGCAAAATTCAGTCGCTCAACGTTGTTGCAGATATGAAATACTGATCATAAATGAATCACTAATTTCCACCGCTAGTAAAACGTTTGCGTCCAGTCATGAAATAATTTAACATTTTGCACGTAGATACGCCATCAAAACATAATTGCATGACCACAGAGAGACTAATGGCAAAGCACACAAAATTGTGCATAAGTAACATTCATGGATAAGGCACACAACCCCTGAACTTTTATATATTCGGACGTAGACTTCTTTTTTCCCTGGAGAGGGGTTAGCACATTCAAGATTTGGCGTTCTAAAAAAATTAAAAACCTATTCCTGTGATACATGCTTGGCCGATGGTTTTTGTCTTACCCTCTTTCTTTGTACTCTATTCTTGCAGCCTTATTCAAGGCTGTGCAATTTAAAATTCCTTCAATTTATGAACTTGCATGGTGAAAATGTCACTCCTTCGAATAATGTGTGTGCATCATCCGGCTACACAGGAAACGAATCAGAGATGGCGTTCGGATGGCGCGGCCCAGGAGATCCGCGTTTCTTAGGAATTCCTTCGAGGGAGGCACTAGCCTCGCCAGTTGCTGAGTGGCTGCGTGGTGCCCTGCGTTCCGAGCTTCTGGTAATTTGCGACCACCACCACCCACAAGTAGATCAGGAACCCTGCGGACAGGGTAGGAAACGTACTGATATTGTCGACTTGAGGGCGCTAAACTCAGGTACATCGATACAACTAAGGTTCACCATCCGAATATTGTTTTAGAAATATAATTGGAAGCCTGAAAAAATAAATTTATTAACTTTTACAAGTAGCGTTGAGTGATTGGATTCGGGTGCATATTTCAACTAAGGCCAGATCTAATCAAAATCTAGAAGTAGCAGGACCGGGCTAAGAACTGAGAGTGACGCTTCAAAAGAGGGTAATGATTCTTTTCTCTTTGCCAAAATATGATGGAGCAGATTTGCTACACCATACTGCACATTGCGACGTAAAACGATTAGGCTGAGTACTTCATTCCTTGGATGAGTCGTACTCACATAATATGATGAACATCTGTATGACCCCTACATTGTAGGAGGAATGGGTCACTAGCAGATAGGAGTAGATGTTGAAATCGCCGGATATGGGTCCAGTGTTTGCGACTCCCATTACGGCCATCAATGCCACCGTTACCAGTGGGTGTACAATCAGCCATGGCAAGTGGAGCTTTCTCTGATTCTGCGAAATTTACACGCATAGCGATCAAATAGGGCTTTCCCAAAATTCCTCCGAAATCACACGCACTCACTTTTTCTGCAGCATAAATGAGGACGAGTGAGCAGACCAAATAGATGATCATCAGCAAGAAGAATATGGCGGCGTTAGCAGTGGCTCGTGCCGGCCTAAAGAGAGAAGAAAAATTTAATCGTGACAGCTTCAGCTGACCTGGAATAACTGAGGGATTGAGGTTTCTTTAGAAGCAAATTTTGCTGCAATTGTACATTGTAAGAGCAAAGGATCCTTTGAAAAGGTATATTTTGCGATCGTCTTGTGACATTTTATGTGTGTTTGTCACCTTATATTCAAGAGTTGAACTAAGGGATCCCTCACTAAACGTCCTTGTCTCGGTGGATTAACCCTTATCACTTGAATTTTTCCCACTTCCATAGCTTACTTGAATTTATTTTGCAAAATGTAGACATAGTTGCGGAAGGTAAAAGTAACCATGTGAATTCTTCATAAATCATTTACTTTTGCACGAAATTTTGGACACACTGATATTAAACAGCTTCGAAAAACGTGTCGTTTCAGCCAAGACATACGAGTTGCAGCAAGCGCAAGTAATGTCGTAACATGACGTTATGTAGCATACTAGGGGAAAGGTTTAAGAGCTAAATGTTCTTCTTGGGCACACCTGGCTCCAAAATCTCCCACGGGATGTCATCGTTCTGGTTCCAATTATAGCCTTTATCCTCTTCCCGTCATTCGCCAACCGATTTTACCCCGTGGGTGAAGGTGGATGTTTTTGTAAGGGATCCCATCCTAATACTATCATCCACGCAATCGTCAGATTCGTCCTCGATGACCAGTAACAGAAGTGAGAACTCACCCACTCGTTGCCCCATTTCTGACAAAGTCTTGAATGAGAACATCGATGGTGATGACTGCAATCACCTGCAGAGAAGTGTACATGTCACGTGCTATCTGCTCATTTCACGCAATTTGAACTTAGACTAATCATACTGAATTAACATAGTGGTATAGCAGTGTGTAGCAAAGAGACTAAGTCTGTGTGGTTCAAACCCCTTCCCATGTCAGTATGGGTTACACTTTTATTATTCAAAGTCAATTGTGTATTTAATCTCGTTCTTGATAATCCCAAGCAGAGAAGAACACGTCAACCACAGCCCAGCATAACATTAAGTATGACTTCATTAAGTAAAACAGGTCATTCCCTGAACCTGAACGAAAAACGCTTTTTTATTTAAGGACAAATTATTTTGATATTACGAGTCGCTTGACGGAGAACCAGCAGAAGGGTTCTCAAGAGGAACGAGTAGCTCACTGGCATTGATCAATGCGAGAAAATACGGATTTCACAGCTCATCGAAATAAATGTGATGGAGAAATCTATTGTTATATTTTGCCGAAGCCGTGGCCCCCCCCCCCCCCCCCCCCCAGAGTGTCTTTAAGGAATCGAGCGTACGTAAAGGAAAACTTTAATCCTGGGTTTGAAACCGTTTCGTGGACTTCCATGGAAGTCCTTGCAAATGATTTTCGAGGAGGTAAACGTGAAAATTAGCATGCAAAGGCCGAGGCTGACGGGTTCAACAAGAATGGTGGATTTGAAGCTCGCTTAACTTTTACGGAACTCCCGCTTCCGTACGACGTGAGTGCGCACAGCACTTCTTGTCAATATCTACAACGGCAAGAAGTACTCTGTATGAGTTTTCGTGAAATGGACACTTACAAGTGACAGGGTTCCTGTGACAACACTTCCCTTCCTGGTGGAACTGCAGCCGCAAAACGTGTCAACCCACGCCATTTTCCGCAACCCCACGAATAGCACCCTTCAATACCTGCAGTTCATGTATAAAGGAGGTACCTCCATAATAGTTGCGATATTCCGTTGTTCACATCGACCCACTCCGTGCAGGTCTATTATTGATGTCCACGACCGTCTACGGTTTTATTATTTATTAATGAAGGACATCATATCTCATGCTGCCCAGATCGATGTGGCACCACGTTTCCTCACCTCATCAAAGGAACGTATGTTACTCTCTAAACTCCTCTGTCAGAGAAGAAAAGGAATGGAAATAAGTCCGTTTTTTTGTTGCTTTCCTGCTCTAAAAGCAAAAACAAAATACCCCTGGGGTTTTACAAGGATGAGTTGTAAATATCTGTATACCTTGTACGAGGTACATGTAACTTCTAAATATCAGTTGGAGAATGTCAGCCATGATATTATTAATCCTGCTCAGGAGCATGATGGCAGATTCTGTTATCATTATGTTTCCCTCGTGAATAGTGAATTAAACAATATTTCCTGAATAACCTAAGGCTTGGGAAAGGATTGGTTTGTAGTCCTCGCGCGTCAGGCGACGATGAGATAATTCTGGCTCCAACGGGCCCCTAAGTCACATAATGCGGATGGGTGAGATGCACTTCTCGTGATAGACCAGACAATCCCAGCCTCGTAAACGAAGGTCTAGTAGGGAGACAAGCAAATCCCACGGTGATGCCAGAGATTCCTTTCAAAACACGAATCGCAGGCCATCGTTTTAATAGGTGGAACCGTTCGCCAATGTATATTTCAGGAGCAGGCCATGGATATCTTCAATACAGTGTTGGACGCACCCCTAGGAATGTAGGCAGCTTGGGCCACATGAGTAAGTTCGTCAGGACTTTGGAGAGTAAAACTCATCCATACGTCGCTTTACAGAGCAGCTGGAGCTCCAAGTAAAAGAAAATCGTCATGCTGAAGTACATCACATCAGTTACTTGTATCGATAACAGCGAATGTAGGACACAGTACTTGGCCGAATGGTCCTGGCAGTTCATGATGCTGTCGATGCTGTCGTCACTGCATGTCGAGTAGGTGCGAGGGGGTGCTAGAGAACGCGCGCCGATTCAAGCTTTTTTGTCTCCTCCACTTCCCGCAGCTTTCCGGGTGGCTCTCGGTCCAATATGCAACTATCGTTCTCGACGAATTCGTTCTTCGTTCTCTTTAACGAATGGTGCAGCCCAGGTAACGGAAGCTTCCTGTTCGAGATATTGCCCCTTGGCCTTCATGCATCGAGAAACACGAATCGTAATCTCGTACATTTGCAGCAAAAAGTAATGAAACCGAACATTGGAATTCGTTAGTACGAAACGCTTGGTAGACAAATCGCCAAGTGGTCGAGTGGAAACAAGCAACTTTCCTTCTCTGAACAATGCGATAAGAAATGGATCCGTCAATCGAAGTGAAAGCAAAAGAGAAGCAGTCCCCCTCATTGCATTGCCAAGGCCACCCGCGCGGCCTCTAATCTCTATTCAGAATCGGGTTTGGTTTAGCGGCCGCTTCACACACTGAGCGTGTCTTACGTGTGATCCTAGTACACACGAGACTACTTGCGTACGAATGCATAGAAGGATGCGTCTGCGTGCACATCGACATGCCGTAACGAGTAACCGCAAGTCCGCGTGTCGCATTTAGTTCTGAGCGATTCCGATGGAAAACTCACCATCTCTTTCCCTTTACTAGAAACCTTGAATTTCTCCCTCGACACGAGTGCTTGCGAACGCGAGTTCGGACTCGCGTGAGCTTCCTTCCAGCGCAATGAGCACGAATGCAAGAGGATGGATTACAGCGTTCATGGACATGACACGCAGGGAACGCGAAGTGTCGGTATGCTTCAAAAGAAGGTTTAAACCTTTTGTCTTAAATGCTTCACGAACTGAAATGAAAATGGTGTGGATTAATAGACAACCGAAAGAAGTGCAAATCATCGTGAATGGGCAGAACCTGATGGGGGTCAACAGGAATTGTATTGCTTTTTTTTTTGCTTTTTTTTAAAATACAAAATCAAGATTCTCTAGCGGCCTGCGGCCGCTACGCTGGCCGTCTAGTATGTGGCAATTTGAATCGTCTATTGTGAGCATAACGTCTTCTTGACAATCCTCTGTTCAATGCATTACCCATTCGGAACTGAACCACTTCATTACATATATATACACATAGCTTACAGTACCCAGGGATATTCTGCTCCTAAACATCGTCATCATGATATTCGAGCTGATTGTCACAATCGCCATTGTGAACGCCTCGGTTTAGCACCTTTTCATGAAACTCAAGACGACATTGTTGATTTCATCTTCCCAACATATTCAACACTCATGCATCACCGATTAGCTCATCGGCTATTAGCGTTAGCGTATGGTACAGACACCACTGATTCTGAAACAGTACGGACCGTTTCCAAGAAATTGTTCGACGGCACAGAGGGAAGTTAGTGCATGTGCAGTAGAATACTAACGAATAATTCCTGAAAATGCCTCGCCTCCACATGAACACCACTGAACAACAGTGTGAGCGTTAAGTGTGAGTTGCAGCAGAAACACTTTTCCGTTGTGGCAACAATGTGAAACAAATGTCCCCTCCCTACAGCAAAATGTACAGCCTGACTGCGCAGCGAGCACTAACGATTCTAGCGATTTGAGATGACATGGAGAGACCTGACAAAATGTCCCGAGTTCCGTAGTGTAATGGTAGCACACCTGACTGGCAAGCAAGAGGTCCGGGTTCTATTCCCGGCCGCCCACCGGCTTTCAACACCCGATTGCTGCGTTCCTTGCATCAAGTTGCTCAGCATGCTGCATGGCTCTCCTACTCCTGAGCTCAGCATTCGCTGCCTCTTGCTGTTTAGCCTTACGTTCCCTACGTGCAACTGGGTATTGTTCATCAGTCATTCTAGCCATTATGGCTAGCACCACCTAAAGCACCGATTTACGCACTTCGCACCGCAACTGCAGTGGCAAACGTAGTTTCCGCGCCAGCACCAATCGTTTATTATCTGCAGCGACTGCTTCATCGTCGTCCTGTGGGACCTATTTCAACAATTTTTTTTCATGTTCAACCTCAGATCGCAAAAATCGCCACCATTTTGCTGTGAAGAGGGGACCGTTTGCGCTACGTATGAAACAGAGAACTTACGTTATTATTTTGATTCTATCAATCATGAGAACTCAAATAAATCGGCCATGACATAAAACGCAAAGAGAAACCTATTGCAGGGAAGCGATGGCCCGATCCGCCACGCCTAACCTAACGGAAAAAAGTAAAGCGTGACATGCATTCAGTTATTACCACCTTTTGATTGACACAGCTAAGTATGAAGCCTATGGCTCAGAATGATATAGCTCGATGGACCTGGCGCTAAAAGCGGTGGATGCCTAAGCCTTTGGCCTAGAATAGCATAGCCTCATGGACCTGGCTCTTTGAGGGGTGGGTGGCCTAGTCTATGGCCGAAAATGATTAGTCTTGTAGGCTTCGCGCGCTGAGGTGACATTCACCACCACCACAATTCTCGGGCTCTTCGAATTAAAGTATAAGATGGGGTATTGTTTTTTTTTTTCATACAAAATCAAGATTCATGGGGTAGGGTTTCATGCGATATACAGGTTGTCCCAGAATTGTGCGAACATATCGATATTTCGTATCCGGGCCAATTTGGCCCATGTGTCTGCTACCTTAGCCTTGCGCGCTGGGCCTTTCACAGACATAGTCTTCTATGCTATTTGGCTCCAATAGCTAGGCGGGAGAACCAATTTTCAGGTAATTCTGAGACAAAACGTGTATGTGCACAGGCACAGCCTACTTTCAACTTCTGCACTTGTCTGAGACATTTTATGAATTTTTATCGAATGGATATTATCGAGGTTGCTGTTACGACACTTCTCTTCCAGGTGGAATTGCAGCTACAAAAAGGGTCAACCAACGCCATTCTCGGGAACTTCACGAAAAGCGCTCAATAGTGAGCTCAATAGTAAGCTCAAAAGCGCTTAATACCACCAATGCGTGTTGAAAGTACGGGGCGGGCCTTTTAAAAGTATACTCTAGGTCTTAGGCAAGGCGAATGAATGGACACGTAAAAACATGTAGCCGGATTGAATGGATCTTTACATGCGCGCAGGTCGCGCTGTGACCC